GGAAGAAGAAATCAAAATAATGGCTTCTGTTACATAAACTATTTGTGTGAACAAGTTTGTGGTTAAAAAATATGATGTCTTTTGCAAGTCCTCTGTTTCACCTGTCAGTTAAGTTCTTCCTGTACAGTGCTATAGTCTGTCAATTTTTGTCAATTTGGGACCCTCAAAATAGGTTGGAAATAAAACTTCCAAGAGGTACCAGGCAGCACAGCTGGCTAGGAATTTAGGGAGCTGACATTCGGGCACATCTGAAGGATACAGGTTGGATCAAGCTGTACTAATTCATGAGTCCCAGTCTAGGGTGTAGACTGCCATGCTCTTTCAGAGCCTGACTTAATGACTGTGACATTAAATAAAAGAAATAAAAGCTGATTTATCAGGGAAATTCTCTCTCTGTCTCCCCCCCCCCCATCCTTAAGTGCAAATAACATCTGGTTCCCTTTGCTCTGTCAGCTCTTTCAGTCCTGAGATTTTTTTTGCTGTTCCTAATTACTGTCATTAGGCAATGGGTAGTGATTACAGACGGATTCTGATGAGAGATATCAGGAAGGTCTGCTCCCCTAGAGATGCAGGATGAAGAACCAAATTTCTTCCTTGAAATTGTTTAAAGGAAAACAAGGGAAAACAACAACAAAACCAGAGCTGGTTACTTATGGTTGTGAATTATTGGTGATAATGCAATATTACAACCTTCTTTTTAAATTTAGCTATGAAAGGCAACAGAATAGGCAATGGAAACTGGCACAAGGGCATTTTCTAAAGAAGAAAGAGCTCTTGCTTTTACATTTACCTTTATTCCAGTGAAGACAAAAGGAAACATTTTAGAATTCTTAACACTTCTAAGTGTTCTAAGTGTCTGAATGCAACTGGAAAGAGGAATTGCAGTACTATATAAAGGTAGCCAGGACTCAGGAGAAAAAGAGTAAAAGCAGTTTGCAGTGTGTTTGTTGCAAAATTGTTTATTCCTAGAACAGGAATTGGAAACCATATTTTGGATTACATATCTCATCATCTCTGATTATTCATCACAGTGGCTGCATTATATAAAAATATAAACCAAAACACTTGGAGGATACTTGCCTAGCTCCATGAATTTCAGTATGTTGTTCTCAGAGGTCATGTGCATACATTCCTGACTATATTGGGCAGTTACTCCCATTGAACTTTATGAGATTTATTTCCAATAATAAAGGGCAAAATTAAGCAACACAATTAAATATAATTCTAAAGAATGTTCTTAGTGAATGAGTAGCTCAAGTTGGCATTATTAGTCACTATTCAAAAGTTATAGATCTTAATTATGAGTGAAAATTAAACATTTGGCTATAAATATTTTGTACACAGAAGCTACAATCGCACTTCAGTTCCAATAAATGAAAGTTTTTTGTTGAAGGATGTAGAAGGGAGAGAACTGTACAAACCATTGTGGTTATGATCCACTGCTAATATTTATTATTTTGCATAAATTTAAGAGCAGATTGCCCTTTCTATACAGTACTGTATAATGTATGTCTAAGTGTGTGTGTAGGTTCTGCTGCTTTGACACTTCTACAAAGAATCAAAATGTTATTGTTAGAATAATTGCTAAACCTGTAAGGTATGAAAGAGTCATATGTGTAGTATAAGATGCTTCAAGCAGCTACGTATACATATACGTATTTCATGAACCCATAATTTTTACAAGATTATGATGCAAAAACAAAGGAATAAAACCATAATCTAGCCCCTACAAAACAAAATCCTGCTAACTGTAATATGCCTATAATATATGAAAATATGACCAACTTGTAATTTCCAGACCAAAATTAGCCTTCATCAGTGTCAAAACCTCCATGGGGAGGGTAACAAGATTAGGAAGCCTTACTCCTGCTAGCACTTTTCAAAGACTTCCATTTGGGGTCCCCACCAATCCTAACTCTCCTGAAAATGCATGAGCAAAGTTTCTGCTAAGAAGCAGCTTGAATCACAAAGAAAGGGTGTAAAGAAAAATAAGGCAACATTGCATATGTAGCCTATTGACTCACTCATGTCAATATGCACGTACAAGTAGTCCTCAACTTATAATCACCACTGAGCCCAAAATTTATATTGCTAAGTGAGGCATTTGTTATGTGAGTTTTGGCTCTTTTTACGACCTTTCTTGCCACAGTTGTTAAGTGAATCAATGCAGTTGTTAAGTTAGTATCATGGTTAAGTGAATCTGGCTTCCACATTGACTTAGTTTGTAAGAAGATCGGAAGAGGTGATCACATGACCCTGGGACACTGCAAACATCATAAATATGGGACATCATAAATACGAATCAGTTCCCAAGCATCTGAATTTTGATCATGTGACCATGGAGATGCTGCAATGGTCATAAGTGTGAAAAATAGTCTTAAGTCACTTTTTTCAGTGCCACAGTAACTTTGAATGGTCAGTAAATCAACTGTTGTAAGTCAAGGACTGCCTATAATATATGAAGATGTGCTATAAAATATTAATGAAAACAAATCAATTGATCCTTGACTGAGGACAGGATGAGATTATATTAATTTTATCTTCTATTTAATGCAATAAAGAAATATTGCTCCTGAAAGATAAAAAAATTGTGTGAAACACATTGCATTATTTTTTTTTTTAGTAAATATTTCTGACTCATGTTCCTCTAAAATTCATCAATTTTTCACTGCGGGTTCTTTTCTAAGTCACCTTTGTTTTTTTTGGAAAAATAATCTTGAAAAATGTCTTTTGTAGGAATGTATATACCGTAGTGAAAATGTGGGGAGGGGTGTGTGAATTAGAATCTACTGGTTTTCTTCCACTATCTTGATGATGTTTTGACTTTGTTTCAGCATTACTGGAATGATTACTCATCAGTCATTTATTTGGGACTTCCTTGTTTGCTGATGTGATAATTAGAACAGAAACTTTTTTTTTTCATTTGAGATACATAATGTACAGTGGAAACAAGTTCTATGATGCTATAAAGATTTATGTTATTTTGTGGACTATAACGTAATAGCTCATAGGAACAAAGATATTTCTAACTCCTAATAATCTATTACTTTGTTAAACTTTAATTCATCAGACTTTTTGCTCTTATTCCTATAATAGATTTACCCTGGTAAATATAATGGAGAAGATACATACTGAAATTACTGTTTAGTTGCTGACTAAACTATTCAGAAAGTAAGTGTCTTGTTTTGACAATACCATTATAAATTCAGCTAAATGGCTTCTACATAGTCTATGGGGAAGGCACTGAAAAACCAAGAAATCTGCTCAAAAACCACTTGGGTTCTAGTATATTGTAGTACTTGTAGCTCTCCTTTGAATTATGCTGATAGAGAGGGAGCGCCACCTAGAGCCACCTAGTCTCCACTGTTCTGGATGAAGTAGAAACACATTCAGGAAATTAGGAAAGAGGCAGATTTCATAATTGCATAATTGCACTGACTGGATAGTATGAAACCATCATATTATATTTTTGAGGCATTAGCACAATATCCAGTTAATTCTTCTGGAACCATAGGAATCCTGTTATTTAACTTTCACCCAAAGGTGGATTTGCTCAAACCATATTCCCTAAACCAATTTTTCTCAAACAGTGTCTTCCAAATTTCAGTTCTGTAAATTTGCAAGCAGGCCCATGTTGGCCAGAGGATCCTAGAGGGACCTCAAGTTGGAGAAGGATAGCTAATGACAGCTAATTATTTGTATTTAGAACAGAAACTCTATACTCGTTCTTTATATAGTTCAGTTATTTTTTCCTCCCTGTAAAGTTTCCTTTCACAAATTGGCTATTATGATTTCCCCCAATTTATACTACAAATCATCTCCCTGGTAAAACCAATTAAAACCTTTTTGCATCTGCCAGTTAAGCACATAACTGATGACTAACAGAGACTTTGTTTTAAAGAGGCACTCCATGAAAGGGAACTGAAAAAAATGTTTTTGGAAACTTAAAACAGATTTGTGAGTGCAGCTGTTAACACATTCAGCTCCCTGTCATAGATAATACATGCATGCACACACTCTAGCCCCTATACTGGCAGCATGGTGGGAAAATAAAGCACAGGGTTTTTTAAAAAGTCAACATTAATATTTTTGGTAGTGAACAAGCAGACTGTTAAGTATAAGGATTACTAGGTTTGTATCAGAAGTCCCAAGGAATATGTTATGGCCACCTAGATACTTTAACAATCTTTTATCTGCACAGCACTTTTTTATTGCTGTCTGTTGTTTTTTTCGAGATTCATTTAGAGATAGGAAGAGAGATAAGAGAACATATCTGATAATGGACACATAAGAAGCTGATCCTGGCTGATTTGGTCAGAGTTGTATGAGATTATTAAAGACAAGTTAAAAGTAAGTTTATTCTTTTTTTTGGCATATCTTGTAATAAACTTCCCCTTTGTGGCTACTGTTTTCTCACGGGATATAAATATTTTAAGAAGTACAATGCAATTCTCTCCTGTATCTGATCGTATCATCTGCTTCCTGTTAAACTTTGCTGTGAACATTTTTACTTAGTAAAATAAAACAGCTTTGCATTGCGATACAATTATAAACCGTTGATCCTGGTGGCTCCAATTCCTGTTGATCAAGCCTAATGATTTTTATCCCCATTTTCTATCATGTGGTTCCTACCTTGTTGGTATTCCAGAAGGCCTTAAGGATCGGGTTATTTTCCCAAGTCTTAGGTGAGGGTGGGGTGAAGCCCCTTGTTAGATGTTAGAATTTGTGTTGTATCGAGCAAGCAGATCCCATCTTGTTTATTTGCTTTCTACAGTATTATGTTTTTATTGTTCACTATGTTCCAAGCTGCTCAGAGATGGTTTAGATCTTGATTTAAAATACGCAATTCTTATCAACAGTTCCATGGACAGCAAAAACCAAAATAAATTGAAAATTATAGGTCATCTATCTATTGCAGTGGTTCTCAACCTTTCTAATGCCACGACCCCATAATACAGTTCCCCATGTTGTGGTGACCCCCAACCACTTATACATCACCGGGTGCCAGGGGCATGGCCAAAGAAAAGGGGGAAAAATGGCGGACAGCCTTGTTTGGCGACCCCCGTGAAATGGTCATTCGACCCCAAATGGGGTCCCGACCCACAAGTTGAGAACCACTGATCTATTGGTTAACATTACATTACTATTTAATTTATTACAGCATGAGAACAATCTTAGAATAGTTTAAAAACATAATTGCAATGAAATATAATGGTTTAGAAAGGAGTTTAAAAAGTTTACCCTGACCATTTTATCCAGTGCTTAAGAACATGTTTACTTATCACTTGTCATTAACATTGTTTGTTTGTTTTGTCCCTTTGAGTCAGTTTTGACTCTTGGTGACTGCCTAGATTAATCTCTGCAATTTTCTTGGTAGAATTTTTCAGAAGTGGTTTGCCATTGCCTTCTTCCTAGGGATGAGAGTGAGTGACTGACCTAAGGTCGCCTAGCTGACTTTGTGCCAAAGGCAGGGGTAGAACTCATAGTCTCTGTTTCTAGACTGATCCCTTTACTACACCAAACTGGCTCTCAACATTGTTACTTTACATCTAAAAAAGTGCAATAGCTTAATTGTGTCTCTTTGTAATTAAAATTGTTTCCCTTACACCCTTACTCTATTTTCTTATTTCATGTATAAGTTTTGTTCTTAACTATAACACATATAGTAACTTACAAAAATCTTACTGGGTGAGTTTCAGGATGCAGAAATTAAGGCAAGATTATTTTACTCCCTTGAATATGATTTTTTTCTAAGATTTTCTGATCTTGATGGGTTGGGTGTGCTATGTCCTCTCATTTCACCATAGTTATAGCTGGGCATTTTGGAAGCTGAAAAGATGACTTCATTAAAAATAAAGCTTGTTATTTTCCAAACTATAGTTACAAAAAAACAACTACACCAAGGTGAAATGACCTGCCTCCAATAATGAGTCATACAAAGTTTGAGAGATTGCATTTGCTAGTCTAAGCCCTTTTAAAGGAATTATTATGGTAGCTCCTTACTGAGGATGTTTTCTTGAATTGTCTTTGTAGTCACCAGCACAGTTGCTCCAAGTTCAGTTGCTGGCAGTGGAAATGAGGAGTTGCATTTTTCATCAGGGGGACACAAGGAAATCATTTCAACCTCCTGACTTCTTGTGCAAGCAACACAGGGCATATTCTCCTTTAAGACATCATCATGGGTGATCATAGTAGCACCATTTAAATGTGGGCATCGAAGTGGTCCAAGATCATTGTTTCCTGGTCCCCAGTCATGGTTTCTTTGAGCTTCATTGGCCAAAAAACAAGTGCACTTGCCATTTTCTAATAAAAATAAAAATATAATAATAAAGAAAAATCAAATTAAAATTTGCTGGAAAACTGAAATTCTTAAAAAAAACTGAAAAAATAATCATGATAGCACAAGAACAGCTATGCAAATAAATTTAAAACTAAAACTAAGATATTTCAAATGATAACAAATGCAGATTTATGTAAAATATTTTAGAATTTAAAATATTCTTTACTGGCCAAGTGTGATTGGACATACAAAGAATTTGCCTCCAAATCATAACTCATAAACCATAGGATACAATCATAAATCGTAAGATACAAAAAACAATGTGATAAATCATAATACCAATAGGAGAAGGTAATAGGAAAGATGAGAAGGATAATAGTAATACAGCCCTATTACATGGGTAAATATCTTTAAGCATGACAGTGCTGTGGGAATTAGGTGTTTAGCATAGTGATGGCATTTGTGTCTAGTTGTTTTGGCATGCAATGCTCTATAGCAGACATGTCAAACTTGTGACATCGCGCAATGTATCAGGACGGTTTTGCTATTGCCGGCAATGGGGTGGGTGCGACTTCCGGATGATGTGTCTGGCCCGCGGGCCGGCAATTTGACACCCCTGCTCTATAGTGACACCCTGAGGAGAGGAGTTGAAACAGTTTGTCCAGGATGTGAGGGGTCTGTAAATATTTTCTCAGCCCTCCTTCTGACTCATGCAGTATATAGGTCTTCAATGGAAGGCAGACTGGTTGCAATTATTTTTCTGCAGTCCTAACTATCCGTTGAAGTCTGTACCTGTTCTGTTTGGTTGCTGTACCTAACCAGACAGTTATAGAAGTACAAATGACAGACTCAATAATTCCTCTGTAGAACTGTATAAGCAGCTCAAAGATTGGAGATGAAACTGTTGATCACCTTATTACTGGCCATAGTAAAATGGCCCAACTGAGTTTAAGCAATAACAAGTTAGAATTGTTATTGGAATTCAGGTAAATTACATGCTTGAAAAAAATCTTTGAAAAATGAGGTGAAGGATTATGTGGCATTTTAAATTTAAAGTGGCAAACACAATATACCAGGATTATATTACTAAACAAAATATGGTTCATAAATGTAGAAATGTTAGAAGATAGTAGCATTGATGAAAAACAAATATAAAAAGTAACAAAATCATCATCATCATCATCATCATCATATCCTATACCAGGAGATGCCAGAGTCAAAGAAAAAGAACTGGAAAAAATTACAAAATATTGCAACCTGGCTATCGAAACTGCGCAATTATGGATGAAACGTGTAACAGTGATACCAATTGTCATCGGGGCACTGGGAACTATGTCCAAAAACTTTGCAAAATACATCAAGAAACTGCAGCTTCCTGCAATAACTCCAGCAATGTTACAAAAAACTGCGCTACTCGGAACATCTTATATTTTAAGGAGATAGCTGGTTGACACCTAGGATGCTGGTAGCAACCCATGTCAACCATCAGCACCAGCCAATTTGAATGTTCAGTTGACTGAGGTTCATGTTTAATGAATAAAAGATAATAATAAAGTTGGAAGAGACTTTGGAGATCATCTATACCAGTGATGGCGAACCTTTTAGAGACCGAGTGCCCAAACTGTAACCCAAAACCCACTTATGCATTGTTGGGTGCCGGGTGGGTGTGGCCCATTGGGTGGGTGTGGCTGCGGTGGTAATGGCAGACTGGCTGGGACTAAAAAATTCAATCAATCAATTCCAACTTTGCAAGATATTTTTTCCCCGTGAGAAGTTGAAATTGATTGAACCTTTTTTTTTTGCACACGGCGGCGGAGGCCTAAAGCAAAAAGGTTTTATAAAACCCAGCTGAAGGCCTAGGACTGGGCGACTGTGCGTGTGCCCACACAGAGGGCTCTTGAGTGCCGCCTCTGGCACCCGTGCTATAGATTCGCCACCACTGATCTACACCAACCCTCTGCTCAGGCAGGAAACCCTATACCATTTCAAACAAATGGCTGTCCAGTCTCTTCTTAAAAATTTCCAGTGTTGGAGTATTCACAGCTTCTGGAGGCAGGTTGTTCCACTAATTAATTGTTCTAATTGTCAGAAAATTTCTCCTTAGTTCTAGGTTGCTTCTCTCTTTGATTAGTTTCCATCCGATGCTTCTTGTCTTGCCTTCAGGTGCTTTGAAGAATAGCTTGACTCCCTCTTCTTTATGGCAGCCCCTGAGATATTGGAACACTATCATGTCACTCCTCGTCCTTCTCTTCATTAAACTAGACATACAAAATTCCAGCAACAGTTCCTTATGTGTTTTAGCCTCCAGTCCTCTAATCATCTTTGTTGCTCTTCTCTGTACTGTTTCTAGAGTCTCAACATTTTTTTTTAAATTGTGGTGACCAAAACTGGGTGCAATATTCCAAGTGTGGCCTTACCAAGGCACTATAAAGTGGTATTAACACTTCACGTGATCCTCCTGTATCCTAAACCTATCTTCTGGAGTATTGGCTATTCCTGCCAGCTTGGTGTTGTGTGCAAATTTGATGAGTTCCCCATTTCTCCCCTCATCCAAATCGTTGTTGAAGAACACAGCCCTAAAATATCCCCAATATGACTACTAAACAAGAATACAGTGCAAAAGAAGAGTAGATTTTGTGAAAAAAGGCATATAATCTTAGTTCTGTATCTGACATTTATGCAAGGACATACTGAAAAGTTGCAGTTGGCTCCGATGGCTTCCCCAGAAGGGGACTAAGAGAGGAAAGTGATGAAGATTGCATTGTGAAATGTGACACAAACTCTGCCCCTTACATATTTCTGTGCAGTATCATGACACAAGTATGAAATGGTGGAGCTTGCTTCATGATTTCGTGACACATATTTCATCATATTAGTGTAAGTGTGATTAGGAAAAGAAGCCTGTATGGTAAATCTCAACAGTCTACTTAAAACAAAATTCTTGCAAACTTGAAATTCACCAATGTATTTCAGCATCCCCAAAGTCAGATCTCTCTGGATTCCTTTTTTTTTTTTCATTTAGAACATATATAAAGCTAGGGGAAGAAAACAGTAATTTGGTTCACACATTGCTCAGTTTTGTCTAAGACTAGACTAGATCAACCTTTCTCAACATGGTATATTTAAACCAGTGGTTCTCAACCTGTGGGTCGGGATCCCATTTGGGGTTGAACAACCATTTCACGGGGGTCTCCAAACAATGCAGTCCACCATTTTCCCCCCCTTTTCCTTAGCTGTGCTACTCCCTTTTATTCTATTGGCTTTTGAAAGCCAATAGAATAGACTCTCTTGAATAGAGTCTAATTCTATTGGCTTTCAAAAGCCAATAGGAATTATCCAGGCTGTCTCTGCCCTGCTGAGCCGGCCAAAAGTCCCATTCTGCAAACAGTGCTGCACCAGTTGTGTAGTCCTCGACTTACGACTGGTTGAGTAGTCCTCGATTTACAACCAGTTGGGGGTAGCGGCATTAAAAAGGTTGAGAACCACTGATTTAAACTGTGATAGACTGCAGTTTCTATAATCCAACCATGGTGTATTTAAACTGTGATAGACTGCAGTTTCTATAATCCAACCAATCTTGAATACACTGTATCTGGTTGGAAAGAGTTAGACTAAATGAAATCAAGTGTTGTTAATACGTACCTTGGGAATTCTCCTTTCCAGTTTGTCTCCTTCTCTTCCATCTTTGTTTCAGGATTACAAGCCATAACATTGCCATGATGATTACTAGCCCCCAAAAAGCATAGAAACCAAATATTAAAGCTGAACAATTTTGGTTTCCAGTATGAAATTGCACTGGTTGGGTTGTAATGGAGGTTGTTCCAACTATAGTAGCTGTGGAGGGAAACAACAGTTCTAAGTGAGTTATCTTAACAGAGATGCTTCTTCTTTTGAAGTGAAATGAAGGGTTCCATTTTGGTTTGTGGCACACCAAATTCAGTAAAAGGAACAATGAAGTAAGAAGTGTGCTACCGATTCAATTGTGCTATCAAAACAGAATCAAAATGTTTCATATCTCCCCTCTGTTAAAGCATGAAACCTCAACAATATAAATACTTTTCCAAGTGCAGGAGATAGTCCTTTAAAGACAGAAATCATGGAATGGCTATAAACGAGTCCTGGAAACAATGTGATGGAAAGTTAAGCCTGTTGTTCTCTATATCCTTGCTCCCTGTTTCCCCATCCGCTCATCTTTTATTCCCCTATCTCTGTATTCTCATTTTTTTTATTGTGTATTCTATTGTTCCATTATTTTGCTACTGTTATGTTTATACTTTTCATTTCTCCGTTTGTATTGTTGTAAGCTGCCTAAAGTAGCCCCACAGCATGATTTAAGCAGCAAACAAATTTAATAAATACCCAGATCAAGGATTCTCTATTTGTTTCCATGGATTTATCACTTTCAAGGGTTATTAGGAACTAGACAACCTTTGACCCATTACAGAGATATTTCCTTACCTAAACAGAGCAACAGAATGACTGCACGCAATCAAAAGAGCATTGGGAGTGGGAGCGACTTTTGAGTTCCTGTTGGCTTCCCCATTGACTTTCCTTGTGGGAAACTAGTAGCCAGCATTGGAAATTATAATCATGTGACCATGGCATCATGATGGTATAGCAGTGCAGAAGCACTGAAGCAGGCACAACTTTGCCAAATGTCAATCCCATTGAGACTGATGAGTCCCTGATTTTGGATACATTTTTTAAGTTAGCCCTTTTGAGATACATTGATTTAAAAATTGCCTTATGATGCACCATTTCTCCCAATTGAAAATTACAAACAAACAGGATAGTTTTAGTAGTGTATAAATCAGAAAAAGAAGATGCAGAAAGACAAATCATTGGCTATGGTTTACTTCCAGATAGAAATAAACTTATCAGCAAAAGTGAACAAGGTTAGTGATTCACCCCAGAAAGTCTATTTTAGTTAATATATCATGCTCTGGATTCACATTTCAGCTGCTTCAGAGAAGGACATTCACAATCTGTTTTTGTTTTACTTAAATATACAATAGATTAGAATAAATAATAAATAAATAAGCTCACCATTTTAAGATTAAATATGCAGGTAGCTGCAAAGAGCCATCTGGTATGTTTTTGTTGCAGCTAGCAAATCTTACAATTATACTCATAATGTTTTGAGCTCAGGCTGTAACCCCTCAAATTTATGTCTAGGAAGAAGACTGAAAATAACTAGCTAAATAGTTAAATAGTTAAATACAATTATTTGCTTGATAGAACAACTAATTTTCCACTTCCACAGAAATTATGTCTGATGAAAAGCAAATTCTTTGTTTTAGAACACTTTATTCTGAGCTCTTCTATCTGGCAGAAATCAACCAATGCCCAACACCCATTCACTCATAAACCTTAAATGGAGCTTTAATTACACCTTCATGGACACTATCTTGATATTGCTTAACCACATACTGCCTATCCCATCTGAAGGACAAGACTCCAAAAGCAATTTCATTGGACATAAATCTGAAAGACTAAGCATACTGACTGCAAAATATCTCAGTTGCACACTCTCACCCTCTGCATCTCACTGTCTGAAAATTGCATTACAACCTTCATACCAGTTTGTATGGGAAAAAACAAAACATTCCACCAGATATCCTTACCCATCCATATGGATGGAAATTCTCTAACTGGATGACAAAGAAGACTGACCTAAATCATGAAATAAGGCTTTGTTTTGTTCCAAAGTTAAGACTGTTTATAAACTCTGTGATTAGTATATGGTACAATGTGTTGGGTGAACCTGACTAACTTATTGAAACACAGTACAATTTACTGTTTTAAGATTTTAATTGGAAGCGATGGGTTTTGGATGAAGAATGAGATGACAGAAATGGGAGAAAGAAAGAAAAGGGGCATTTTATTTTAAAGCAATAAAAGACTAAAAAGGGCTATGTATAGAATATATGTACAAAAGGTTCTGAATCAGAACACAGTTAAAATAGATATATTTGCATATTTTCTTCCTCTTTATTGAAGAGAAGAAAAAAGAACCAAAAGGATGCTAACATTCTGCTCTGTTGGTATGAGCTGCTTACTAAAATTTCACTTGAGTGTTCATTACAAATACTTGCATATATATCTTCTCTAATGAAGATAGTGAAAGAGGAAGTTGTCACCTTGATTATTTTTTGATTAATTTTGCACTAAACCAACTGCTTTGATTAAAGAAAAAAGCCCAATTACTTTTGTTTCTTTTTGAAAACCGCTTCTGGACTTTGTGCTTGAGGTAAAAAAAAAAGAAACTTTAATTTTGGATTTTACCAGTTAGATAGGTTTGCTGTTATAGAAATGGCTAGTTTATACTATTAGGTTAAAGTAAAAAAGTTGAGGTTTGATGTTATTATCATATTCTATTGCACCAAAGGGAGCCAAAAGTCAATGCCTTTTCTTTCTTTTTTCCCTTTTTCCTTCACTTTTCCCTTCCCCTTTTCCTCCACTATCTTTCCTACTATTTTCTTTTGTATTTTTCTATTATAAATTAATAATGAAAAATAAATATATAAAAAAGAAAAAAAAATACTTGCATACATATTTTCACTAATGAAAGAAGGGTAAACTAACTTTCCTAAAAATGAAAAAGGAAGGTTTCACCTTGATGAATTTTGCACCACCCCAAATTATTTTCTGCACTCCCAGACAGTGACCATAAACCAAACTTCTAAAATAAAAGCCTATAAATATAGCATGACAGCTAGGGTAAGAAGGAAACACATGTTTGCCCTTTTATGTATAGTTAGAAATGGAAGGAAACCCACACATTATAGAAGGGAAGCAGATTTTAAACAAATCTGAAAAGTGATTTGCACTATTCTAATAAAACAGCAAGCAGATACTGCAGACCTGAAGTCTACTTGCCATTGCTTATAGATTCTTTTATTGGAGTTACGTAACATGTTTAAGCCCAATCCCAGATTAACCAGAAACATCTCCAATCATCTTTGCATTCCCCAAGATAAACCATGTTATGATTTCATACTATGGCCTAATTCACACAAAACACTAGGACAATGACTGAGTTTTCCACAACCTGCTGATTCACAATTGCACAATTCTATTCTACCTTTGTCAGGCTTGTGGTGTGAAACCAATATGAGTTTCAAGTGATGTGAAGGACCCGCTAAGCCAGGGTGTCAAACTCAATTTCATTGAGGGCCGCATCAGCACTGCGGTTGTCCTCGGGGGGACCAGGTAGGTGTGACCAGGGTGGGCGCAGCCTACTGGGTGGGTATGGCTGGAGTGGGTGTGGTCTACTGGTGTGGTCTACACAGGTGGGCGTACCTGTGTGGGCCTGGGCAGGAGTGGGACAAATCTGAGGGTCTCTGGCAGAAGGGGGTGAGACCAGGGCGAGCGCCAAGGCATTGTCCACTGGAAGACCCTCACTGTTCCTCTCAAGCCATGCGGGGGGGGGCTGGATGGTAGCAGAGGTCAAATACCCAGCCCGGCCCTCAAGCACCCGCAGCACCAAGCTTAGCCTCACTTCCCCAAAGGGGTGCCCAGCTGCACTTACCTCCTCCTCAAGGCTGCTGCTGCTGTGCTTGCTCTCCTTAGCCAGGTTGCTCATGATGGCTATGAGGGCAAAGTCAGAGGGAGGCCCATTCTCTCTCCATGGGAGGAGACCCGGCTTTGTATCCAAAGCTTCCTTAGTAATAGAATGGGAAACCCCAGGATAGGCCAGGAGGAGGGGGCAAGGGGATGGTGAAAGGGCAGCAGGGTAGGACTAAGGCAGGACTTCCCTCAGACCCTCCATCTCCTTCCTTCCTTCCTTCCTTCCTTCCTTCCTTCCTTCCTTCCTTCCTTCCTTCCTTCCTTCCTTCCTTCCTTCCTTCCTAAGAACAGAGTGGTGGGAAAATATTTGAGATGAGGAGGGAGAAAAATAGGCAAGAAATGCAGCTGGGGAGGTGTCACCCTTCGTGAGGAATGAAGAAATGTACCATTGCCTGGAAGTGGCCAGCACATGGCCCTTGCCTACTTCACATATCTGGCTTGGTGGGCTTTGGGGGAGGTACGCCATGAGCAACGTGAGAGTCAATGTTACCTGCGCAATGCTGCCCAGCCCCCAGCCTGCCTGGTTTCAGCAGGCAGTGAGGCGCTCTCCTCACAGCGCTGAGAGGCTGAGCCAGGCAGCCCGAAGCTCGCCAGCTTTGCACCTTGCTGCCTGCTGAAATTGGGCAGGCTGGGAGCTGAGTGGCAGCGGGCTTCTTTTTGGATTCATGCCGCCTGGCTCAGCTTCTCGGCGCTGTGAGGAGAGCGCCCCGCTGCCTGCAGAAACCACTCCCCTGGACCCCATCAAGCCGGATATGTGAAGTAGGCGAGGGCCATTTGTTGGCCACTTCCAGGCAATGGTGCACTTCTTCATTCCTCACAAAGGGTGACATCTCCCCAGCATGTGCCCAGGGGTCGGGGCCAATGCGGCAGGGGCTGGTTCCTCACTGTTTCCAGACGGCCTGTGGATCTAAGACTGAATACGTTTCAGCATAGATGGCCACTACAAAATTGTACATTGGCTCCTGGTTGGCCTGGGCCAGGGCCAAGGCAGCGGGGGCCGTTCAGTTACTGTTTCCAGGATGGCTTCGCGGGCCACATGAAACCACATTGCGGGCCACATATGACCCCCGGGCCTTGTGTTTGACATGTCTACGCTAAGCTAAGCTGTCTCTGAGTCTCAAATGCAACCACTAATAATCCACTGTCATACCCTTGACCCTGGCAGAACTTTCCCTATTAACTTTGTCCATTTCATGGGGGATGCTGAGGAGTGGGCTTTGCCATGGTGTGATTATACTTTTCTTGGAATGATGGAAAACAGAGCATGTGAAGAAATGAGTTCCTGTAAAATCACAGCTGAAGATTCCTCTAAGAACTCCCTTCAGCACAGCCTTCCATCCTCCCTCAGAGAGGAGTCTGCTCTAAAGCAAGATAGACCAGCCAGCTCACTATTACCTTTACTACAGTCTGGATTTTTTTTCTAGAATTGATCAAGGAAGGCTGCTTTTTGCTGCTGGCATTAGATTGTTGGAGATCTCTTTGACAACCCTACCTTGAAGTATTGGTGCCTGGGGCCATGACAGGATGCTGAGTAACCAATATGCCAAATGATGGTGGGTTTTATGCTCATTGGGTTTTTACTCCATCAGTCAAACCTATTGTCTATGCTTCAGTGCCTTTGGGCCCTACTGAGGTGGTAGCTTCCCAGGAGGCTAAAAAATAACAAAGTAGGTCTTCCAGTAAATTGATATTTCAAATTGGCCATGTGCACATTCATTATCTACTGTGAAAGTAACTATAATATCCTTTCAAATTTCACATGTATTCTCTACCCAAGAGGAAGAGGCCTTTAAAAAAAGTACATGTCATTAACTCATTCAGCGTATATAAGAACTGAAAGAAGCATACATCTATTTATTGCAATTTTGATCTCTTAAGCAATGCATGGTACTGACCTGAGAAACTCCATAGCACATAATTCCTCTAGATGGTCCATGTTCAGGAGTTTTACATATATAGTGTTGACTGAGGAAAGACTTAGCTTTTAATTAAACAAGTTTTGTTTTTAGTATTATGCTGGTGTTCGGATTATTTTATAACATGGATTTACCCAGGATTCGTATTTTTAGCATAATTAGAGACCACACACACACACACACACACACACACGTATGTGTGTATATATATATATATAGAGAGAGAGAGAATACTGAAAATAAAAAGGCGATTCCTGGGTAAACTCATGTTTAGCTAGCAATAAATGTAAGAACACCAGGAAATTATAAAAACTATAAAAAGTTTTAATAAATTTAAAACACCAAGCTTTCGCCGGCAACTGCCAGCATTGTCAGGGTGGTTTCCAGTTAATGGGAGAGGCTATTTATGGCTGTGGCGTTCTTTGCGCCCGGCTCATGGATCTCGTCACGGGCCCCAGCCAATCCATCTGCACTTTGATCCTAGTTTCCGTGTTACTGATCGTTGTTTTCTTGCTTTCCTTTGTACCAACATTCTCATCCTTTTCCTCCTCATGCGGTCGTGGGTTGGGGGAGCTTGCATGTTTTCGTTGTTTGTTTTCCTTATCCTATTTCCTGTTACTCCCCCTCCTCATTCTCCTCCCACTTTCCCTCTTTCCATAGTCTTTATTCGCAATTATCACCTCATTGCTTTCTGCTACATAACCAGCTTCCATTGTAGTTGTCTTATCGTGACTCCCATTCTCTGATGTTACTTCACTAACTTTCATTTTCTTGTCAATGGGGGCATTTCCAGCGATACCGTCAGGGTTTGTAACATTCTTAGCCTGGTTGTCACCCCCCCTTCGCACAAAATCTTCGGTGTGGGGGGTCATCCCCTCTCCGTGGCTCATACTCCTCTCCATTCCCTGAGGGTGAGCGATCGTCTTCAGGGGAAGGGAAGGGGGCGGGTTTTTCAGTTCCCGGTTTCTCACTCCCTGCCTATTTCCAGGGTGAATCCCCCTTCTAAGATGTATCCTGGGGCATGCGGGAGCTGCAACGTTGGGAGCGATCGCCTCTTCACCCTTAGATATATCCTTTATATATCCTTTTGTTGTCTTTCTCCAGCCCTTCCTCTGTTTCACTTATGGATTGTTTTACCCTGACATTTTTACCTAAATTTTTAATTTCTTTTTTTCCCCAAAAATATATATTCAGTGTTTGTGAACTAATAAGAAGTTCAATTGCTCAAATACTTGTCTATTTTGCAAATGAATTTATAATTAACAGACTAATAAAATGAGAATTGCCTTCTTAAGCATGGAACAGAGCCCTGCACCTAAGAAGGCAGTTTAACATGAATTGTTCTCTACTCCTGGATTCTCTTCTGGCTTTTACAAAGACCATTTCCAGCCTACCTCCAGACCCCTATTTCCACTCCACCCTTTTATGCCTGGGATTTTATATTTTCCTTACTTGTCACTTTCCTGAAGCCTCTTTGCATATGTTTACAGCTGTGGCATTCTTTGGTCAGCTTGTCATAGCAGAAGCTGGGATGATGGCAGGTTGTGTTGTGATGGTCCATCAGAGGCCTGGATGAGAACAGACAGTGTCAAAACTGTTTCTGTTCTTCATTACAATTATCAAAAGGAAGAGAGACAGTCAAGGTTTAACCAGAGAAGAGATTATTCAAATGTGGCCTCAATGAGAAATCAGTGAACTGTGAAGCTCAGTAGCTTTTTTTAGTGCTAAGTACTACCATCTTCATTAATGTCATGTATATCCCAGAGCTCACTGCTCTGAGCAAATTGTTTTCTGTGGTGTCCCCAAAATATCCCAGGAAGCAGTAGAAACATCTGAACACCCTGTGAAGAGTAGCAGCATTCCCACTGCTTCACTAAAATTCCTGTTTAATTTTTAGATGGTCCGTGAATATGGTTTTTCCCACAGAATGTAACTCATTGTATAAAGATGGGAAACAAACAAGTAGAAATGGCTACAATATTCCTTTTGAATAAATAGGATCAAGTTAAGAGACAAAGGCTTCTGCTGGATGTGTATTTCAGAATACTAATAACAGCCCAGTTTTGGTTATTTGCTGTTCCAGATTATGAAGCCAATCTTATTGGCTACCATCTATCACTCCTCTAGCCATCTTTTAATCTATGCAACACAGTTCTGTTAACTCTATTTTCCTACTGTACATTATTTATATTGTTTCATCTATGACATAACTTAACAACTAAAGACAGATTGTACTTATATTTTAAAAGAGGCCAAAACAATCAAGAGAAAAAAGAGAAATGGCACAATGGGGGGGAAAATGTGTAATTATTTCAATTATATGTAGTTTTTATTACAAGAGTGGATGCTAAAGCAGTGCTTTGGTCTAGGCCAGGGATAGTCAACCTTTTTATACCTACCGCCCGCTTTTGTATCTCTGTTAGTAGTAAAATTTTCTAACCCCCCACCAGTTCCATAGTAATGGTGATTTATAAAGTAGGGAAATTACTTTACTTTATAAAATTTATAAAGCAGAGTTATAGCAAGTTAAAGCATATAATAATAATTACTTACCAAACACGACGAGTTGTGTTTCTACCAAACAGTTCTACTTTGGTTTCATCTGACCATATGACACTCTCCCAGTCCTCTTCTGGATCATCCAAATGCTCTCTAGCAAACTTCAGACGGGCCCGGACATGTACTGGCTTAAGCAGGGGGACACTTCTGGCACTGCAGGATCTGAGTCCCTGGCAGCGTAGTGTGTTACTGATGGTTGCCTTTGTTACGTTGGTCCCAGCTCTCTGCAGGTCATTCACTAGGTCCCCCTGTGTGGTTCTGGGATTTTTGCTCACCGTTCTTGTGATCATGTTGACCCCACGGGGTGAGATCTTGCATGGAGCCTCAGATCGAGGGAGATTATCAGTGGTCTTGTATGTCTTCCATTTTCTAATTATTGCTCCCACAGTTGATTTCTTCACACCAAGCTGCTTGCCTATTGCAGATTCAGTCTTCCCAGCCTGGTGCAGGTCTACAATTTTGTTTCTGGTGTCCTTTGACAGCTCTTTGGTCTTCACCATAGTGGAGTTTGGAGTGTGACTGAGGTTGTGGACAGGTGTCTTTTATACTGATAACCAGTTCAAACAGGTGCTATCAATACAGGTAATGAGTGGAGGACAGAGGAGCCTCTTAAAGAAGAAGTTACAGGTCTGTGAGAGCCAGAAATCTTGCTTGTTTGCAGGTGACCACATACTTATTTTCCACCATAATTTGCAAATAAATTCTTTCCAAATCAGACAATGTGATTGTCTGGATTTGTTTTCTCGTTTTGTCTCTCATAGTTGAGGTCTACCTATGATGACAATTACAGGCCTCTCTCATCTTTTTAAATGGGAGAACTTGCACAATTGGTAGCTGATTAAATACTTTTTTGCCCCACTGTAGAAACAGGAAGTCTGATGAAATTACATTTAATTAATTAAATTATTAATAAGATCCCTGAGGCTGATGCTGCGAAACTAAATACTGGATATCTGGCTCAATTTTTGTAAGGAACAAACGAAGGTCTCCTCTTTCGGAAATATTCAGGCGGTTTCTTTCTTTGGTCATAATATGATTAACAGCACTAAAGCCTGATTCCACAAGATATGAGGTAGGGAAAGGTATCAATAAACTGAATATCATTTTCCACATATTTGGATATAAGGCAGGCATTTTTTTTTTACTTTGCCATAGGTTTTCATATCCACCACTTTCAAATTTATGTTTACTTTCTTCATTATATCTAATTTCTAACAGTTCTTCTTGGCAAGTTATATCAGCCTCTTTAATATTTGCGGTAAAAGGATTTTTCATCCAGTCATACACCTTCAATTTCAAAATATCTTCAAATCATTTTTCCATGTCCAATTTAAGTCCTGGGCAAGCAGGAATGAAGAGAAAGCCTTTATGGCCTCTACCTTGGTATTGAGAGAATGCCCAGTGGAGTCTGGTTTGCCCCCGATCCGTGCCTGTCACAGCAGGATGAAGAGAGAGCCTGGTTTTTGTCAGAGATGCATGAAACCTCTATGACTGAGGGCTCTGTGCGGCTCTCAAAATGGCGGCTGCACCAAAATTAGCGGCCGCTTGTATTTCGGCTGGGCCTTCCCAGCCATGAGGGGCTCTAAGAGGAAGCTTGTTGTTTGTTGTGCCTTTAATTTCCACCCCCCGAAGCGGAAAATGAGGCACTTGCAGTTTTATCTCATTGCGCAGCGTCTGCTGCGATCCGGATCGTCGAGAAAGTTGACGGGAGCCTCGCGATGATGGCGCGCTTCAGTGAGGCTCTCTGGCCTCCAAGAGCTCCGTGGGGGGTCGCACAGCTGAGGCTAACACCCCATGCCTGCTGGAAAGCTCTGTGAGCCGATCGGAGGGCTCAATGGATCCAAAAATTTAAACGGCTCGATTGAACCCCTACCGCCCACCAAAAAAGCTGGAACGCCCACTAGTGGGCGGTAGGGACCAGGTTGACTACCACTGGTCTAGGCCATCTTAATGATTGCTATTGTTGAGGCAATGCTTTTCACTATAGAACATGCTAGTCCTTAGTTATTATGCTCCTAAAGCATTTGCTGTTTGGAAGGGCATAACAAATCAAATCAGCTGGCAGTGCCATCCTATAATAATCAACTTTTCCTTTTTCTTTTCTTTTCCTTTTCACTTCCAGAAAATTAACAAGACATGTGTGGGCCATGGGAGTACAGATGATTTTGTATGTGAAGTGGCTCTTAGTTTTATACAAGATTAAAAAACAAAGCACCTGGGGTTAGGGGAGAGGGTAAGGAGGGTGATATGAGATACTTTGAGCAGGGACAAATGAGTTTCTATTATTAAAAATCTTGCTTTTCAAGAGCCACTATTTCCAGTCCAGTTGTTTGTGCTGAATGAACATGGTCCTTCTACAAACAGCAGAAGGACGTTTACCATATAGTTGTTACAGTTCCACTATTTTTCCAAGAAAAGTCAGAATACTACAGTTCCTTTAAATTATTCCTTTACATTATTAGTGAAATAAAGAGAATGTATACAAATAGTCCTCATTTAACAACCATTCACAGTTATGGCACTAATGGAAAAAAAACTTTATAACCAATCCTCTGTTAAGAGTTTTACAGCTTTCCAGCGAAAAAATAAGCCCCAAAATAAGAACACATTCAAAATGAGCAGGAGGCATAGTTTAGAAAAACTTTATCTATAAAATATATATAAACATGATACCTACAGTTTCATTCAGCTCTGGGGAACATCAACAGCTCTTAACTTGGAGATCAGAAAAAGACATAAAGAAGACTAAGACACGCCCAGACCTAGGCTGAATCACATGCCTTACACAGCCAATACTGTGTCTTAATCAAAAACAGTTGTCATTGGTTGGTTTGTTGCTACGGCTATTCCAGTTCATAAAATTTCTTGCACAGTGATACTCCTCCCTTTATGACTGGAATAGACATAAAACCAAATAATTTAATACTCTTCCCATGGTGTACTCCACCCAATGGCTTGGTCATTACATCTGTCAGATTGTCATCTGAAGAACAATTAAGCAAGCGAATTAGTTTACTTTTGATGGCTTCTCTGACATTACAATACTTAATGTCCACATGCTTGCTTCTACTTTTCACTCTGTCACCTGTTGCCATTTTAATGCAAGCAGCATTATCTTCAAATACTTTTACAGTTTCTTTCACTTCTATGTTTAAACCCTTTAACAGCTGTGTCTGGTCTGGATCACTGTGACCGATATAATAGGCTCCCTATTGCTGACTGATATATCTCCTGATCACAGGCTTCACTTTTGTCCTCGCCCAAAGTGTTGTGAAAATCTATGCTAATAGGTGTTGGAGCGGCATTATAATCCTTCATGTTGTATCTCTCCAACAGTTGTTCAATTTTCCTTCTTTGACTGAGAACGTAGCCATTTTTCTCAGTTTTTTGTTTCTCTACACCAAGATAGTTTTGTATTTCACCCAGACTTTTCAACTCAAACTTTTTCTCCAATTGATTAGCAAATTCCTTCACCTGTGCCAGATCCTTTGCAATGAAGCAAAGATCATCCACAAATGCTAATAATTGGAACCTTGCAATATATATGCAACCATCAGCCTTATAACTCTTGAACCCAAGACCTTTCAGTGCCATATCTAAACAGATGTTCCAGTTTCTGGCTGATTGCTTCAGCCCATAAATGGCCTTGTTCAGTTTATACACAATGCCAGCCTTTTTACTTCCATACCCTGGTGCTTGAACCATGTAAATTTCTTCCTCCAACTCTGCATTGAGGAATGCTATGGTTATATCAAAGTGCCAAATTTTATGCCCACGTGCCGTTGCCAATGCTAGTGCCACCCTTATAGTTTCATTTTTTACCATTGGTGCAAATACCTCATCATAGTGCACATTTTTCTTCTGCGAAAACCCCTGTGCCACCAATCTTGCCTTATATTGGACTTCATTGTTGGGTAACACTTCCTTTTTGTATACCCATTTACATCCTACAGCAGTGGTTCTCAACCTTCCTAATGCCGTGACCCTTTAATACAGTTCCTCATGTTATGGTGACCCCCAACCATAAAATTATTTCCATTGCTACTTCATAACTGTAATTTTGCTACTGTTATGAAATAATTGGTCCATTAGTGCAGGGCTTTTCAACCTTTTCACCGATTGTAGAATAGGGCAACATTTGAGTACCACCAGTCACCTAGCGAGGTGTCAAAAACTTGATGACCCAAAAAAATGGAAAAAAGTGATAAAGTACAGGTAGTCCTTGACTTACAACAGTTTGCTTAGTGACTGTTCAAAGTTACAACGGCACTGAAAAAAGTGACTTATGACCATTTTTCACACTTATGACCATTGCAGCATCCCCAGGGTCATGTGATTTACATTTTGATGCTTGGCAACTGATTCATCTTTATGATGGTCACATTGTTCCAGGGTCATGTGATCCCCTTTTTCAACCTTCTGACAAGCAATGTTAATGAGGGAAACCAGATTCACTTAACAACCATGTTACTAATTTAATCTCTCTCTCCCTCTTTCTTTCTCTCTCCCTCTCTCTCTGTCTCCCTCTTTCTTTCTTTCTTTCTCTCTCTCACTGTCCCCCCCTATTTCTCTCTCCCTCTCCCTCTTTCTTTCTCTCTCCCTCTCTTTCTCTCTCTCCCTCCCTCTTCCTTTCTTTCTCTCTCCTTTTCTCTCTCTCCCTCTTTCTCTCTCCATTTCTCTCTCCCTCTCTTTCTCCCTTTTTCTCTTCCTCTCTCTCTCTCCCTCTCTCCCCTCTCCATTTCTCTCCCTCCCTCTCTTCCTTTCTTTCTCTCTCTCCCTCTCTTTCTCTCCCTTTCTTTCTCTCTCTCTCTCCCTCTCTCTCCTTCTCTCCCTCTGTCTCCCTTTCTTTCTCTCTCCCTTTCTCCTCTTTCTCCTTCTCTCTCTCCCTGTCACTCTCTCTTTTTCTCTTTCTCTCTCTCTTTCTCTCTCTCCCTCTCTCTATTTCTCTTTCCCTCTTTCTCTCCCTCTCTCTATTTCTCTCTCCCTCTCTTCTGCTCAAAGATCCTTAAAATCCTTAAAAGTTATGCTTGGGTGGAAGACTTTTTC